TGAAAAAGGATATTAATGCAAGGAATATGGACTAGAGTGTGTAGTTCTATTGAATGTATTAGCGTATACAGGACTGCATGGAATAATATCATAGTATTCTTGAGAAGTAAACGTTGCCATTGTTACAATTTTTCATCATAATCTTATTTAACGCATTTGTATGAGCTGTAGGTGCTATGAGAGCCTGATGATGACAATCCAATAATACTCTATATGAGTAACGTTAAAAAAAAATAAATAAGACTAATGTGCTTGGACTATCCTGAAATTTTATTGGTGTCATACGTCCTACATACTAAGATATGAGATAGAACACCGGGCATAACTTAATTTATGAAAATCCCGCCTGTAATTCAAGGAGAAAAATGTATGGCATTACATACACGAAACCTTAGAAATATAGACCGTTGTCATGCTCACTGTCAGTATATTAAACACTTATGACTTTATTGCGCTAATAAATTCACACGGCGACAGTTGAAATATTAGAGAGAGAAAAGGATAATACGGGTTGAATTAAAAAAACCGTTATCAGTGAACGGACGTCAACTATTCACGCTAGATGTGACTCTAGCCATCTACTCGATCTTTTAAAAACTAAGCAAATTGCCCCTTAATTCTCATAAATTCCTACTTCGCAACACATTTTATGATAGGGAACGCGCACGCAGACTACATTGTTCGAACCTTGAAGCGAAACAGCTGATTTCCTCAGTCACGTTAAATGTTGCAATTGATTTCAAAATCAAAGTGCAGCGGATGCCAACATTATTAACAAATTACTATTAACGAATGAGTGTTTTTTTAGCCGTATTGGCATTTCAAATACAATACTATTTGAAAAGCAATAAATCACTACGTATACGTACTACAAAGTGAATAATTAATTGAACATTATACTAAACACTCATTCAATTATAAAACATACTGAACAATATTAAAAAACTAAACTGTAATAAATTAACATTCAAAAACAATTATTATCGTTAGTATGCATTTGTTTTTATTAACAAATAAATAATACTTGTTAATATTTAAAATGTAAAAAAATATCTTATTCATTAATGTGTCTAGGTAAATAGATCTGGTTTTTCCTTGTAGTTCACAACAGATTAAAAACGCATTAAAAACTAAGTTAGTGACCGAATAATACAGTAAGTCAAGATTCACTCTCGATAAACCTTTGTCTTTTTAAGAGTAAATATGCATTTTAAAATTTTTTTAATCACGTATTCGTATTCTACTCATTTTTCCCTATCTTCCTTTAATATTAATGACATTATGACTGAATCACCAATTTGCTATTTTATTGCTTGTTGCAGAATTTAGTCAAAGGAAACAAAATGCTTCCAAACATTATTTCCAATATGCAATATTTATTAGTAAACAATGTAGCAACAAAGTATTATAAATAGCTATATAATTTAAACAAGTTTTGAAACGCAAGCGTTTTTTATGTATTGTACATGTAAAATGAGGATTGCGTCAAAAAATAACTGAATCTCGTTTTATAAATTTATGACATATTGGTTAAATATCGTTTGATAAAATATTGTAAAAAGGTACATATCAGCAGCTATCTTTCTGTATCAAATGTTAGAGAATTTTTATATTAAAATACACATTTAAATTTGATTAAAAATGTACCAATCCTGTTAGAAAATTATCATCGAACGACTCTGCAACTTTGTTTTGTCAATGTTATAAATTCGACTGTACCAATTTTTCCTTGAAGGCAACTCTATTCAACACACTCTAACTTTGTATATGTTCATCGGAAAATATTAATAATAGCCCCATAACCCACGTGAACGACATAACGTATAGAGGAGTCGATAAGCTTCTTAAAAATAATGCCTCAACGTCTGCACCTTACATGCACCATTTACCTTTGTCGATAACCTGAAACTGAAGGTCTTTACGAGGTGACATTATGTTCATAGAATATTTTATCCTTCTAAAACTTGCTTCTGACTTTTCCATTAGGCAATGGAAAAGTTCCGAACTTTAATTTAATGCGATAGTTTTAAAATTGTGAGTATGTCACCACCATTTAACGTTGCCACTGATGGTCCGACAGATTTTAATTCTTTGCGATATATTCCTTGTGATCTGTTTCCAAAAATATCTCCTAAATACAAACAACATAAGTTACTTAATTTGTCTATAATGTGTTAATAATAAAGAATGAATGTAACAATTTTACGTTACACGTTACCCTACATGTTGCGTTACGCGTTACGTTACGCGTTACGTTACGCGTTAAGTTACACGTCAATTTTTGTTAGTTTTATATAAATTAATATCAGTTTTATATAAATTCCTTGTAGTAATAATAAATACAATAGAAAATGCTGAATTTGTAGTTTAATGACCAGAATACATATTAGACTCATCGTTGGCGTCGAGTATGAGTTTGTTCAAGATTGGTACTCAACAATATGACTAAAAATATCGAAGGGAGTCGTTTAAATATTTTTTCCGCGCTCCTTGTGCGGAATAAATTATTTTCATAGCAAAACGAAAGCGACAATAAAGCGTTTTTAGAAGGAATATAGAAAGCTACAAAGTTCTTTTATTTCAAACGTTAGAGGCATTTTCCCTTGCACTGGGGAGCACTAATATTAAAAATTGAGCGAGGTAGAATAGGTAAAAGACAAGCCTTTATAAATAATTTAACGCCATGGATCTTGTAGACATTTTGTGATTTTCAATGTTCCTCGCCTGAGGAAAAAACTGTGGAAACGCTTTTCTCCTTATTTAAAATGTATTACATTTTTCCCAGAAGGGAATATGATGTCTTTTAATTGAAATTAATTTCTTCTCCTCGGTATTAAAAGCTTAATAAATTTAATATTTCATCTACTAAAAGCTATGCTTAGCCCAAGATTTATGGACCGCACCAATCCAGGTGATCTTCAATTTGTTATGAAACAGCGCTTCCGGTACATCCAGAACAGAATCTTCTAATGAAAAATCGCCAGTAATGATCAAGAAATGCTGATGAACATTTAGAGATAATAATGTAAAACACTGTCATGTATTAATAAGTGTGTTGCCGCTCGCTCAAGTGAAAAATAAATAATTTATTAATAAATGTGTGATTTGTGTTAATATGTAAAAATTTTATGCGTTAATTTATCCGTTATTCTCATCATTAAACGTTTAATATCGCCCCTGAACGCTTACAAGTTGTTCGGCTCCAGTAAAAAAGCAAATTCTTATTCCAATAATAATGAAAATATCATTTACTTTAGTTCCTCGAACTTTATGAGTTGCGATTTCGTTTTATGGGGCCGTATCAAAGACCAGGTTTTTCGGTCTCCGCCCACGGCTATGACCTAAAAAATATCAAGAGCTCGTCGTAACATAACGCGGTCATATTGGAAAATCTGGGGCGTTCGCTTCGGGATCGCACAATGTCCTTAGAGCAACAAGCCCGAACTTATTGGCATTGTCTCTTATAAATTATTAACGACAAAAAGTCTCTGCGACAAAGGCGGATTGCCGCACAAAGGCATTAATTTCGCGAACCGTTATTGTTTTGTCATTTTTGATCGAAATACGTAAAAATACAAGCCGATCGAAATACACGAGCCCTGCTGTCCTATCCATAACAACATGCCATTTAGATTTGATATATTTTCTAACTGATGTCAATTCAATGGTTAACATACCTTTAATTAATACTCAGGCTGGTTTTAATGAATATTTTTAATGAATACTCTGGCTGGTTTAATGAATACTCTGGCTGATTTTAATGAATACTGGTTTTAACGAATACTTTTAATGAATACTCGGCTGGTTTAATGAATACCCTGGCAACGTTACTTCAAAATATAAAGAAAAACTGTAATGAATAACTCAAAACTGATGATTTGGGTAACTGAAAATATTTTGTTTTCTATGGCAACCCTGATATATACAATCAATAACAGACTTGGTGTTTTCTTTAGACATACCATCTTTTAATTAGGAAGCGATATAAAAAAACTTTTTTATTTTCAAGATATAAAAGAAAAATCACTGCTGGTTCCAGTAGACGGAATTTGTATGTATCTTAGAACTAAGTTCAGGCGACTGTTGCTTTCGAGTACATCATTTAATTATGCCATTTTCGTCAACTGAAATATAAATTGCTTATCAGCAATATCCAAATAAAAGATTCTTGAAGAAAACAGGAAAATTACTAAATTTATTACTTCTAATAACGTAGCTTCTATAATTACGGGACGTTTATTTTTAAGAAATAAACGAACAGATTCTGCTTCCCAGAAATTTAAGCTTGGCATTTAGTATTTGCTATTTATAATATTTCGTTTTTAAATATTCATGTTCTTAAAAGGGTTTTAACGAAGTCGTATTTCGTGTTTATAAAATATTTCTCGGCAATTTTCAGTTGCAAAATGTATACCTAAAATATTTACAACGAAGGAAATAGAAAACCCGAAGAGGAATTAAGAAAAATAAGTATAATATATAATTTTCTTACTCTTCGGCTGTCCGCACCACGTAGATGCAATATAAATTACCCATGTGCACAGTTAATGGACTCTGTTGACAAAACAGTATCGGTACCGTATAGAATCGATTCTGTATTGTTTTTAAATAACCGTAATGTCCAATCTTTCACAATACAACGCCATAACATCAAAAATAAAAAGATACGCCTTGAATATCTTAAAATTTCTTGAAAACCTGATGCTGACTGTCGAATCTCAGTTCTCCTGGTCTACTTTGTTAGAAACAGGTCGAAAAAATGTGACGCGAAATAATACCATTCGGAAGATAATCGATTTCTAAGTGAAACCGACACTTACGGCAAAGTGACGCCGGGGCAAACGGCACGGGGGCAGGATTATTGACGTACAATTTAATTACAGTCCAACGGCTTATCCTTACACTCCTCTAGTGTTATTGGGGCCATTCGGGGCTCTTAAATTAGGTCGCAGGATGTTTTTCCTTACCCGAAACCATTAACACTCCGCCTTCTATTGCAGCACTTCCGGAGGAGGGCCCCAAGATATCAGGTGGACGGCCTCGCTATCAGGTCGGCGATACCGTCCGCGTGAAATGTACATCGGGAAGGTCCAAACCGGCCGCGCAGCTCAACTGGATGATCAACGGGGAACCGGCTGACCCCAGCTTCCTGAGAGGACCACAAACTATAATGGCAGGTGAGTGTCGTGTGCGATATGACGTAGACAAACAGCAAACTGTTATGTGACATAGGTTCTAAATTTAACGGGTTTTCAAATATTATCGTTTAAATTAAAAGGTAGAACTCGGATATTCTGCACGAGTTGGCTACGTTGCATTACAGTGCGCGCGCAGTGCGAGATATAACTATCTCTGTCTCTATCTGCCTCCTCTATCTGCCTATCTCTGTCTCTGCCTTCTCTATCTGTCTCTCTGTCTCTATCTCTGTATAACTATCTGTCTGTGGTGGATAAAGCGTTATCTTCAAAACATTATAAATTATCTGAAAAATCAAATATCATTTAATTATTGAAAATTATTCATACCTTTTCCTTTTTTTTTCAAAAACTGTTTTGCACCATTTATTTAATACTGTTTGGTTTGTCTGTCTCCTGTCATAATGTCAGTCAATTCCCTTACACCCTGTATATCCTGTGGTCTAGGTTTTAATCGAGACTAAGTGTTTTTAAGCAAAATATGAACATGTGGCGTAGAAAGTTTTGGTCTTCAACACATAGGGTGTTTAAATGAATAAGAAAAAAACTGTAAATGTTTTTTAATAGTCCTTTCCTTCTGGTTAAATATTTCCAAATGTCTTTATTTCCAAACTGAAGGACCTACTTTTCCCCTGCTGTATTATTCATAACTTAACGCATTTACTTTCTGCTAGCAACGACAGTGACATTACTACTAACTGTAGTTTCTTTGCGTGACAACAGATCCGGCTTACAAATTACGCCGATTTTACCTTTGGTAAGCAGACTAATACTATTTAGATAGCTATCCAATTGCTCATGAAGTATTCCGTAAACTTTCAAAAAAATATACTTCGACAAACACGAGATTATATACTTTAGATTGTACATACTATCTTTGAATTATTTAGTAGACCAGGCAAAAATTGAGTCATAGATTATTTAAAAGCCATACTATTTGCCTGGGAAGAAAATTGTAAGCCAGGTTGTTAATAGTTATTAGATTGTTTATTACTACCAAGAAATATATAAATAAACATAAGGTAATGAAGGTATTTATTCTATTTAGGAATAATTTGATAATTGTATCATTTACTGCCGAAACGAAACACTAAATATTACACGCTACTGAAAATGATTAGCAGTTAAAGTCTATATAGTTCAGTAATTGCTTCCATAACACATCACGCATTGTAGTATTTAAACTACATGCTGCACGTGCAATATCGCGGGTACTGCGGTTCGGGTTTTCCTCGACAAGGTCATAACCTTCATGCGTTGAGTTCATTATATCGGACCTCACAGTCATTAAACAACGTTTCGCATTGTTCTGGAATTAGATTATTGTCTTTGGCTACAATGATTCTTATACAAACGACAACACGTTAATACTATAACCACGATTTCTTGATTCGAATAAGGCATTTTGAAATAAAACAACGTATATCAATCTACCGTCGACAACAGTTGATTAACTGGGACGATGCAGAGTCGGCCTAAGTTTCGCGTAATAATCCCTGATTAATTTTCTGTAACCCATGACTCTTTAGGTTGCTAAATGAAAATTGTTTATTTTCACGTTGTGTATTATTTACATGCGTTATTAGACAATATGTGCAGAAGAAAATTTTTCTTTACTTTTCCAGGTCGAGAAGGATTGGAAACGTCCGAATTGGGCTTAGAGTTCCGCGTGAGACCCAAGCACTTCAAGCGCGGCAACATGAAGCTGAAATGCCTGGCCACCATCGCCACCCTCTACCTAGTCAGCAACGAAGAAAGCGTCGAAGGCGAGAGGCCGCAAAAGGCGTCCGTCCTTGAGAGTCGCGGCACGGCAGCCCCGTCTGGCTCCCGGGCGGATAGGGTTCAAGGTGAGCATGGCTGTATCTCGCTTTGAACAAACACCATTACGCCTATCTCTCAAGGTGTAAGGCAATTTGGCCGATATTCTTACGAGGAGGGCAACGGAATTCTATGATAATTTTATAAAATATGACGCAAAAAACTTGCTACAGAAAATTTGTTCTAAATAGTTTAAAAATTTCGGGAAATTTTGGAAATTCCTAAAAGTTCTGAGTATTCCAAAAAATTTCGAATAATACTGAAAATTTCGAAAATTCCTAAAAATTTTGTTGGTAAAATTTTTTAAAATTCGTGAAAATTTCTAAGAAAAATTACCGAAAATTTGGATATTTCGAATTTTAGTAAATTTGAAAATGCGTTTAAATTTCGAAAATCGAAAACTCCGAATAGTTTGGAAATTTCTAAAAGTTCTGAGTATTCCTAAAAATTTCGAATAATGCTGAAAATTCTGAAAATTCTTGCAAATTTCGAGAATTCCTAAAACGGTTGTAAAATTTTTAAAAATTCGTGAAAGTTCCTAAAATCTAAAATTTTTTCGAAGATTTCTAAAAAAAATTACCGAAAATTTTGAAAATTTGGATAGTTCGATTTTTTTTAGTAAATTTGAAAATGCGTTTAAATATCGAAAATTAGAAACTTCCCGGATATTTTGGAAATTTCTAAGTTCCAAGTATTCCTCAAAATTTTTAATAATACCTAAAAATTTACTCTAATCCCTCCAAATTCTGAATATTGCCTGAAAATTTTGAAAATTCAAGTGAATTTCAAATGTTCCTAAAGATTTTGAAATTTGCAAAAATTTTTAAAATTCGTAAAAATTTCTAAAATCAGAATTTTCTCGAAGATTTCTAAGAAAAATTACCCAAAATTTTGAAAATTTGGAAATTTGGAATGAGTAAATTTGAAAATTCTTTTAAATTTCGAAAATCAATCATTCCGGATATTTTGGAAACTAAAAGTTCTGAGTACTCCTAAAAATTTTGAATAATACCTAAAAATTTACTCATTCCTCTAAATTCTGAATATTGCCTGAAAATTTTGAAAATTCTTGTGAATTTCAAACATTCCTAAAGATTTTGAAATTTGCAAAATTTTTTAAAATTCGTAAAAATTTTTAAAATCCGAATATTCTCGAAGATTTCTAAGAAAAATTATCCAAAATTTGGAATTTTCGAATGTTGGTAAATTTGAAAATCCGTTTAAATTTCGAAAATCAGAAATATTCCGGATATTTTGGAAGTTTATAAAAGTTCTGGGTGTTCCTAAAAATTTTGAATAATGCTTAAAAATTTACTCTAATTCTTCTAAATTCTGAATTTTGCCTGAAAATTTTGTAAATTCTTATGAATTTCAAACATTCCTAAAAATTTTAAAATTTGCAAAAATTTTTTAACTTCGAAATTTTGTAAAAAAAACTTAAAATTCATAAATCCATTTCTTCAAATAAATATTACTGTAGTTATAATATGTCCTTGATTTTATTCTATTAAATTACAAGAACGTAAATCTCTGTTTCTTCCTACATCGAGTTAGAATCTGTAGAAATTTTTGCCCCAAAAAATCCTTAATAATACTTCTGAATATGATCGTACTTGGCCTTAGCGTTGGATTATAAAATAGCGTCCATTTTATTCCGAAGCACTTTCACGAGATCCATCTAACCAATACATTTAATTTTACAATACGTTCACTTACTGTTCTATTAAATACAGAGGAGAGGTTGAAGACACTTTTCTGACCTTCGAGAAGCCTGCTTTAAGTGTTTCTTATTTTTTCTTGACTCCACTCCACGTGTAAGCTTTGGATTTCTTCGGCGGCAGGCGTAAAGCCTCTATACTTGTTTCATGACAGATCTCAGGAAAAGCTCCTGGATATTCCGAATCGTTCCTATTTTCGCTTCTCCGCTTTCTCTCTATAAAAAAAAACACATAGAACAGCTACAATATATTTTATCTGCTCCCACTATAATAAATAGACTATTAATACATTGTTTTTAAGGAGGTAAGTGGCTTTTACCGTAGAAGTGGAAGTTACTATGGACAACGGGAGGTAAGTGAGGTAACTTACCTCCCTAGGGAAAAAAGCGATTTATGAACAAATAAATAGAAATATTCGATTATCATTACATTTTATTAATTATTATGAATGAATATTCATAGTAATTGTACAGTTAGTAACATTTATAAAATCTGGATAATTATTCCCTTCGCGTTTACTAATTGTCACATTTTTCTCAAAATTATTTGACCGCTCCATTTCAGTTACCGGAGGCTCAATATTATCTGATTGATCCATTGATGCGACGTACTACTATAACCTGGAGTTGAAGTGTCATCGTAAAATATCCTGTTGGCTATTTCATTTGTGTTATTTAAATTGTCAGCAACATAATTTTCTGCAATTGTGGCTGCAAATACACAAACTCCTGTATTAGCCAGTAAGGTTGCCGATGTTCTTCAGAATGAATGGCCTGTATATGTTTCAGGATGTTCTAGTTTCAAAAACTGTGCAATTTTATTAGGAATCATAGAAAGGGTATTCTTGCCGACTGGCTGGTTGTAACATCTACCTGCTTGATAGGGTATAAAAAGCGTGAAATTTTAGTTTTAATTTCCAATCTAATCTTGATATATTTGTTGAGAATTTCTAGGTGACGACAAAATCCAAACAACCAAGGCGACTTTGCAAGATTTCGATTAATGTCAAAATGAATTGATTAAGAAATGTCAAAAAATAAAACCTAATCTTTATTTCGCGAATCATGTACAGAACTGTGGGAGCAGATACAATGTTGTTAGCCCTTGCTCCGCTCGGGCGCAAAATCGTCCTCGACTGGTAAATAATACTTACCTCCTTTATGGTGTAAATAACTATTTTTGGGAAGAATTATTACATATACTTGTAGAGTACAAGGTCAAAATTTCCTTATTCATCATCCATCATTAGACAAAAATATCAAGCAATTTATTCACGACCTTATATGTGACATCCTTTCTAATTTACTGTAATGGAGTTCGTCTGGCAACTCACAGAATTATCTTGTGCTCATTTACAGACGCCAACAAAAAAATATGAAACGTAAACAGGCTTTTACCTTATTAATTTTATTATTCTTATTATATATACTCCCATTGAAGAGCTCAGTAATTTGTAACGTTTAGTAAATACACAAAAAGCCCGAGGACCATTTCTTGCGCGCAAGCTTTTTTTTTCATTAATTAATAGGATATGGTATAAAAACCCGTCCGTTATTAACTTACCAAAAGCAAAATCCCCTCGAGATTTTGCTCTCCCCAGGACGGGGAAAAAATAAAGGACGCCAGCGAGGAGTAAGAAATCTGTTTCACTAATCCAATAAGCCAAATGTACCTCTACACATTTTTCTCTGCCGAGGACTTGGAAACCGGGACGGAAATAACTCGCTGTGCAGGTGTAAAGGATTAAATTCTCAAAATTGTTATTGTAAGGCCGAGGTAAAGTGTCTGAAAAATTTACCGGTGGGCTAAATCCGTCAGACATTATATTGCCGGGTCCAAATCCACACAAAATAACAATTTTCTTCCGGTTATGCTCGAAGTACTGATTTAGGCATAGGAATTTTGGAAGTCACGGCAGGGTCGGACTGGGAGAATTGTAACAAAAAAAAATGCTTTTTTTAAATGTGTTTTTTGCACTTTTAGGTCAGGATCTGTATAACCTGATGTGATGTGCAGTTTTGTAGCTTGCTTTTCTGTAACTGATTTGCGTGAAATTATAAAATAATTTATTTTAAACAAAAGAAATTATATAGGAACGATACATTTTCCATTTCCTAAACTAGGAAAATTTTTCTATGCACATAAAAAAAACGTGGGAGTAACTTTTGGCGGTACAATATGTTAAAAAAATTCGAAAAATGTCATATTTTTCTTCCTATTTAATTATGTATCTTTTCCAGAGTTGATTTTAGACGAAAATGGAAAAGGAAAAAAATGATTGCAATTAAATTTTTTACAAATCGAATTAATCATCATCATTATTGTAAAAATCGGAAAAATCGCCGAAAATGGGGTTAAAAACATTACTTTTTTGGGAATTTTTTTGGAGCCTTTAAATTGGGTATAGGACTTTCATACTTGGCTCAAGAAAACTTCTTGTTATGTAGAATCATCACACCAAATTTCATCAAAATCGGTTGGATAGATTTTGCATAATAATTTTGCAATTCAGATTTTGAAATAAAAGAATTGCAAATTTTCAAAATTTTGCACAGCAAAAACTAAGGCCCTTAGATTTTCGAAAATTTAATCACATATATAAGGGCTCTCGAGCTTTCAAACGCTCTTTGAAAAAAATTAGGAGAGCTGTGGAGCTTGTTTAAACATTGGTCGAATGTTTGTACTTATAAACAATTAGAATAACTTTGTGAATATTTAATCAAATCAAATTTTTTGAAGCAGGTTTTAAAAGTTATTGGAAAGACGCTAATTTTAAAAAAATAGATCGATTGGTCAATTAGTTACGTAGTTAACCGTAATTTAACAACACTAAATGTACTGAGACATCCGGGCTAATTTTTCGAAAGTACTTACTAAAATTCGATTCGTGGTCCTCCTTTGGTTTTGATAAAAATTTCAGATTTCAGAAGTTAGATACGGTAATTTCATATCCAACAAAATCGTACTGGTATCAGGTATGCCCCAAGGGTCTCACTTGGAGCCACTGTTTTTCAATACCTTTTTAATGATATTAACGAGTGATTCTCCCATTGCAAATGACCCCACACTGTCTTTATGGAAATGTGAGCTCGGTCAAATTGGTTGAAATTCAATTGAGAAATGTATGAATGCAATCTACTGTTACCAACGGCCAATGTAGCCAGTTTGGTACAAGTCAAAATTGTTATTTGGCAACTTTTCGAAGTCGAAGGTTATTTTTTTTTATAAACATTTCGTAAAAGTTATTGTTTTTATTCCAATATTCTACTCATACTACAGGCACAATCATCGTCATCAGAACTGACTCAGACCGCTATAAGTAGGAATGATTTTTTGATCCAAGTAATGTGGAGACTTTTGGTCAGTACCACAAAACCAACAACTTTCAGCCAATTTGACCTAGCCCACATTTTCATAAAGACAGTGCGAGGTCCTTTTACTGTTCAGTAGGTAGGTACTTTATTGCAAAAACTTTGAAAGGTTTTACCTGGAACCTTGAAACTTGCGGACAAAAAGAATTCAGTCAAGCTGTACTTCCGATTCCAATATCAATTATCCCTCTATATAAAGGAAATTATGCATGCCATTCGACAGAGAATAGTTTTAGCAGGTAATCAAGAAAATAATCAATATTGTACCTTTTCATGAATTTGTTTGTGTTATATTTGATGTATATTTCTGAATGATGGTGTTGGTTGAACAAGTCCTTGGTCCCTTGCCAAATATGCTAAAACAAATACTGAATAAAATAGAACAGGGCGTCTTGAACTTCAAGTATGTAGCAGATCTTTCAGTTATTTATTCCGCCGGACGGTTTGACTAATACCTTAATGAAATTCGGTGTAATAAATGGGAAAGGCAACGTTTGCAGTCTTATATTAAAGCGTCGACAGGAATTCCCGTCATTGTTTCTAGTTTATTAAAGGACGTGAGAAAACCAAATATTTCTCCCAGACTACGTGTTCCCGCAAGTAATAAAAAGAAATATTACTCATTACAATTTTCAAGTGAGGTGGGGCCCCATAAATAACCAAATTTAAATTTCAGATGTACGCCGGAACTTTAGGCGCGAAGACGTGGCCTAAAATTATAATAAATAAAACTGTAAATTTAAATCTCGAGTCCATATGAACTTTTCTTAGGGAGCCCATTTATCTTTCAAAAAATACTTTTATGTGTAATGCCGTGATTATACGCCTCCTTAAGGATACGCCTCGCGGCGCAATCAATACGTCTGTAGCTCCGATTCTAATTGATTTATTACCACCAGACAGCCGCTTTTGTATTCCACCCTTTTATATTATATTTTCGCCACAGGAAAATCTTTTATACGCACCTGCGATATGTCTTAATCCCCAATTTTTTATCGTTACTAATGCGCCATATAGTACAGCGCTTACCAAAAGTAACGGATAAAATCGTCGATAAAAATATTTTAAAAAAATGCTCGGACACGTCGAGTTTTATTTTTTAGAGATGTAATTTATCCACCCCTGCAACCCCCAAATAAATACAAATATAACATAAAATATTTATTCGCTCAATTAAAATTGTGGCGCCCAACGTGGGGCAGCCAAAATAGAAAAACTGTAATAAAAATGGAAACTAAAATCTAATCGTTATAGTGTATAACACATTTCTTACGCAGTATACAGGGTGTGGCGTGTATAATCTATAAAAATTAAACTACAGCTTCCTAACGATATTTGTAATAGAAAAGTCTTATACGAAAAAGTTATATTAATTTACAAAAAAAAAACGCGAAGATAGAACTTTTTCATATAAGACTTTTCTATTACAAGTATTGTTAGGAAGCTGTAGTTTAATTTTTATAGATCATACACGCCACACCATGTATAGACTCCATTAAAGTACTTCACGTTTGTCAGAGACGCGAGCTTTGAGAACGCCGATAGAAAACTGCGAAGTAAAACTTTTACTTGGCATTACTCACGCGGGCGGACACGGGGCTCAAAGGACCTCGTTTCCCAAGATCTCTATTCAAAGGCCTCGCCCTAGTCTCTTCCCACTTTTTGTCTATCGGGTGCACTATCTGTTTCACGTATTGTCTGAACGGGACGTGTCGCTAGCTAAGAGTTACGAGAGAATCGTATTATCTCGCGTTGATAACATTGTCCTAACGTCGGCGAACACGTGTGTCGATGGTATCGCACGGACCCTCGGATGTCGCGCTCTCCTTCCCATTCTGGATACCGTGCATGTCGTAAATTCCGGAGGAAGTGGATGGTGCACTGCAGGAAATTTATTTATGAATACTTTTGGCTCGGTTCCAATAAAACATGTATCCCTGAATTTTTCAGGGCCTGTCTCCGACTGTCGGTTGCTATTTCCAGACGTATTTCCAATGAAGTAAATTTTATTTATGGCCAGGAGAACGGCCGAGATAACGGTTTGCGATTCGACCCTCCTCAACGCCAATAACGGTCTAAGTTAAACGTATGAACAATAACAATAACGAGAAAAATAACAAGTTAAAGTAGAAGACAAAAATTAAGATATCAAAAAAGAAAAACAGAAAGATAAAATGAGGACACAAATATACAAATATTTTATTGATGATGATTTGGTTGCTACTTCTGAAGTACCTCAGGGTCCAATTCTTGACCCCCTATTGTTTAATAAGGTTATTAATGATATTTGCGATGACATTAAAACCAAAACTGTTCAGCTCTATTACATCTGCTGCTGTAGTTTGCGAATATAATAAAGGTTCAAAAATTGTATTATACTGTAAGGATTTTGATGTTATTTTGTATTCTAAACTAACTTTTACTTCTTATATTAATCATATTACATTTAATTCTAGTAAAACTCCCATTTTTTTATTAAAAATGCAGAACATTTCAGTTCCGAGAAATATTTTAAACACCTCCTTTATATTTATTAAAAAATAATTAATTTGAAAATTGGAGTTAAATATTTAATTTTGTATTTTCAGTCGCAGAAAACACACAAGCTCTCTTACCCTTTGTACGTAGAACTGTTACTAAAAAATAATGCAGTGCCAATTGCTGTCGTAAGGACGCGATGCGGCGCCAATAAAAACTATAATAAAGCTGATATTTTCTGAAGTAACGGCTACGATCATGACCGCAGTTTGTTTTTTTTATTGTTGCCCCAGTGCGCGGCCTATATTACCACATGGGGAGTATTATGGTCAGTTTTGAGCTGTTATTTTCGAATGGGGATTATTGCCTGTGTCGTTTCAGTAACATTAAACGGTTGGTTTATTAAAATTTAATATTTTGAATAATTTCGTAGAAAAATTCATAATTTTTTCATTTCTTCCGAAAAGACATTTATCACGCCAATTATACGGGGTGTTCAGTTACGAATAGGCCAAAACCACGAATACTTTCTATGATAAAAATTAAAGGATATATTCAAATAAAATTTTGTTGAAAAATGTTTCGTATCCGAGATAGAGTGTTGAGGATTTAAACTAATTGACAACGAACTATCTTTCCATGTTTCTTTTATTGCTGCCATTGAATGAAGGAGATCTACAAAATATCAATAATCCACTCCTTCCTCTCTACCAAATTTCCGTTCTGGACAGATTTTTCGGGTTAGCTGAGTCTTGAATGGATGCAGATGCAGATCTTTTGAAAAAACTCGCTGCATTGAGCTTTTTGGAACGTTTAAAACGTTTTGAAACGTTCTTTCTACTGAACATTTCACGTAATTTGCACATAGTCTCAGCTACTTACTCTCCGTACTTGCTCATCCGTTTACAGCGCTCCATTTTGTCTGTTCGTTAGAACATGTAACCATGCACAATGCTATCAACTCTTCTGAATGAAAATGACGCACAATACAAATCGTGCGTTGCTTTTATTTTCCACAATGATTAATTCTATTAGCTCTAGTTTGTAAATGGTGAATTGCTTTTTAACTTTTAATGTGACTGTTTTAGGAATTCCCTCCACAATACAAGTTGGAGTAAAAACTAATATTGTCTGCAAAATATACGATTCTTTTTTTATATAAAAGTCACGCCATGCCGTAAATTGAGATACTCTATTATTCACAAGCTTATGTGACGCGTTTTATTCTCATCATAAATTTAGTTACGTCTCTAGGTGGTTTGCCCACCACATCAGAGAGTAACAAACTAATATAAATGAAACTAAATATTTTATACGTGACGTTTTTGATACACCGTATGCCCGACTATGTTTTAAAATTATTACTTGCAATCTAACAATTAATTAGCTATGACTGGTGGGCTAGGGAGGACTAACAATGTCCCAACCCCCACAAAATGCGAAATTTTCCGTTTCGTGGGCCTGTTTAAAAAAACACACGAAAACGGAAACACTTTTTTAATGGCATTTGTACCTTAAAGATTAAAGCCAATTGGTCACCAGCATTTCCGATAATTAATTACTAACTTGTTGAGGGACATTGTTTGACAACATTAGATTTTTATTTATTTTGTTTTATTAATTTAAGTTAGCTTATCCTACCTTTAAAACAAAGTAAAAGTACAAGATCTAATAACGAACTACATATGAATTTATCAGTTACTTGTACAGTCTTTCCGATCTCAATTGAAGAACCAAGAGGTTGGCGGTATGTTCCAAGTTCGGTCGCTGACGCAACAACTCGACATTGAAATATTTGAAAAACTGGTTTCCGTATTTATTTAGCCACACCCATATACAGGTTTGGTCGCCCAGTGAATGAGCGCGCGGGCAAACGCGGCACAAACATAGCCGCACTGGGCCACCTGGCCATAAATTCATATAAAACATATAATAGAAATTTTGTACACATTATATATAGATTTTTTACCTTTAGCAGACAACTTTTTTAGGGACGTCTATGAAATTCATTAAATCTTATCGCTAGGCGTTTTTATACATGTTCAACGGACTTCGGAAAGACTATACGATGTGGAGAACTGTTGCCCTCCTAGTTTAATGACGTTTAATTAAAGCCAGCAAACGAACGTATTAAATACTAACAAGTAATTCCTGCTTTGCAGCCGCCGGCAGCCGACAGGCCTTCCTGCCGCACGTGTCACTGGTTACTCTCTGCTGTCTGGGGTATGCGCTTCTCCTAGCGTCTTCCAGATAATTCTTCTGCCATTCGTAACGATGAAGCATCGTTAGAGCAAGCCAAAGACATTTAATGTGAGTGATATTAATTATTCGCAGCTTTGTACATTCCCTTTGTATAATTCAGTTGTCGTATTTCCTTTTAAAATGTGGTTTCATATGGCACTAACTTTATTTCCATTGTTACTCTACCTGCGAAGCGAATTTGTCTCCGAATTACCTGAAAATATCGAAGGAATTTAATGAGCAGGAACTTATTACCGAGGCCCAGATGTATCTCTTCTAAATTTTTTGTAGGGATTCTTAAATGTTGTACAAATATTCAGACACGTTCATTAAATGTACAGAAACAATATTATCTCTTGTTACAGGTTCGTTCAGGATTGATTGGCCAAATGTAAATCTTTAAAATAAGAAAAAATTCGATTAAGGAATGTTAACAAATGTTTAATTTTCTAGATGCAGTGATGAAATTTTAATCTGAAGGTGTTTAATGTAGAATGATGGAACTCGGTACACTACGTCAGACATCTTAGAAAATGATACATTTTCTCAAATTTCCACATCTTGTATTTGGAAAATGACACATTTCTGAAATTTCAGTTGCAATCAATTAATCCCGAAACATCCTGTACAATATTCCATAAACAACTTATGAGTTTGAAGAGGATCTTTCTTTAGTGTTTCGCAAGTTTTAATGGATGTTTAAAAGTAGAGTATTAACATTACCTCTTGTAATTAAAGTTTAATAAATAGGCTTTTAAAGTCGTGCTACTAAAAATATTAAAACTACATGAAGTGTTAGAATGCAGTTACTTTCATTAAAAATTTATACCTGCGCGGATTTTTAGACTGTCAAAGTTTTGTTAGTTTGTGCTAGATTGATAATTAAGAGCAACCTTCAATTTTTACGTGCTTGACAGAACTGACATTGAAATAAAATTCCCGTGGTCTTCACCACAGCCTATCACTTAACTCATAAACTTCTGCATATTGAAAAATATAATGTAGGGGAATTTTATTATTCCCCCGATTTTCTTCATTTCCTTTTCAATAGGTGGCCAACAAATCGCCGTGCTTGGCCATCTCGGACCCTTTATATGAATAAAATAAATTGTGAAGATCTATTACTGTCTTAAGATCCGAGATATAAAGGACTTAAGGCAACCGAACAACTGTCAATAAGCGATATATTTTGTCGCAAAATACTGGCAACTCAGCCTTTCTACTAAATCAGCAGACCTGTAATATTTTATGTTCGGAACCTTTCCCAGCTTATATGTATCATTTGTTATTTTACCGTTAAAAGTTAGGTTCCTATCTACTACTAAAGACAAATTCGCTTCGCACACATTTCAGCCATGTACATATCTACATCTTTCAATATTAAAAACAATCATATTTACTAGTCGTCATTCTTTTTAAGGCAGATAAATGTATTTTCAATCTAAGTGATGTAATTGTATACCTAGTATAACATTTTATTAGCTTAGTTCTCAATTATTATCAGTTCGAGATTGATAGTGTATATATTTTCAAGAGTACTTCGTATAATGGTCTTCCAATTAAATCTCCCTTAATTGCATATCTTGCTTTATAACAAATAATCCCATTGCACAAGTTGATTTTAGTTCTCAAATCAGTGAAACATGAAAAGTTTTGTTTGTTTTCATGATTAATATCCCTTGCTGGTCATTATTAAAGTTTCAATCGACAATTTAAAATGTGAGTTATCATACATATCATCGATATATGAGCTATCAAATCATATTTCTCATTGTTACAAGATGTTATTGTGTCGTATATTGCGTAATTTATATTATAGATTTGAATATTTATTAAATTATTATACAGTGATTCATAAACAGTGACAAAAAATGAAACCTCGTATTCTTTCGTATAGGCACAGTTTTTATCTAGGACGCTTTGGTAAAAAGCGTAATTTCAATTATTTCACTTACTAGTTTTTAAATTATTTAAAAAAATTTCTAAATATTGTTTTTTTAAGTTTAACACCCTGTATCTTTTTAACGAAGCGTCCTAGATACAAATTTTATACGAAATACTCCTCTTAAAATTCACCAAAGAATACGTGGTTTAATTTTTGGTCACCATTTGTGAATCACCCTGTATATAAGTCATTTTTTTAATATAAGAAACTTGGGGATATGAAAATATTTTTGTAGGCAACTTAAAAACAAGCCACCCATATTGATTTTTCCAAACTAGAACTTTCATGCAAAAGAAAGTATGTAATTTTTAGAAATATTTCAAGCAACTTGAGAATAAATTGCGAGTACAAACAAACTAAAAATTAAAAGGATTTAAGTCAAGCATATCCTTTTTCAGCAAGTTTATTTCTTGTAATATTTATTAGAAGTTTTTCAACATTTAAAGTGTTGGATCTTTATAAGGGTTTGCCCTTGTTTTGAAAGCTTAAAAGGGCATGTTATAATTTAGGATTCCGTTACTAGGGTCGCTTATATTTCAGAAATGCCTAACAGTGCGTCTCACGAACTTAACACAACACTTTGAAGTAAAATTATTACATTGAGAACTAAGCTTTTAAACTTTTTAAGCACTGACTGTATTTTGTAAATCTGATTATCGATACTTATAGATTGTATATTAATTGGTACTATTTTGAAACTAGCTTGATAATTTACGAATAACCTACGAGTTGAGATGGATTTGTTTAATAGATTTGGAATTTAAATATATATGACGTAAACTATTTTGTAACTTAACACTTAGTGCTTAAAAGTAATTGTACATTTTTACGATAAGAATAAGCGGAGTCTGTTTAACAAGGATTTTTAGGGGAGTTGTTATAAATATTAGTTTTTCGAATTTTATAGGTAGGAGTGAAAGTAAGTGAGGCTGTGCTAATAATTTAAAGGAAATCTAGAGGGCAGGGCTGGATTAATTTTGTTTCTTACTAGTCTAAAACCAGCTCTGACCGCAAACAAATATTATATTGAATTAAATACTATCTATATATAAGTTGGTTTAGTACAAATACTTTTAACCGTTGCTAGTAGCTTTTGTTCTATATGACGAATGAATTTCCAGTTAAAGTGGTACAAATATAGGGTTACTTCTCTGGAGAAAATTTTTCTCAAATGAGGAATATCTACGTATTTTTTAACATTGCTCGAGTGACAATCTATTTTTTCTGCTGCTGTTCTACTTCAGATTGCAGTACCTAATACAAAAATGGAAAATCCTGCATAACAGTAACATTCGAGTCTATAAATAAGTTTGCATCTGAGATAGCTCCGCCCACAAAAGCACACTGGACACTGCGAGGGTCCCTCACGCTGTCCCAAATCGACTTTTTCCTATCAATAATTACTAAATAGTCAGTCTAGATACAATTATAGATGGTCACTGGAACATAATAACGTTGCTATTAAGGTTACTACTCAATGGTTAAGAAGTTGCTGTGTAAGACACTATCGTATTTGAATTAGTTTTAGGGGAAATTTGTTATGCGAGTAATAGAGAAAGTCTAGAACCCGAATATCCTTGTTAAACCGGACAAAATATAATTTTATATGTATAAAAAAAATCCCTGTGATCGAAAAACTATGTTTGGCTGTTCGCCGCAAATTGTTAATTATTAGTGATTATTATAAGTGTGTAATAAACTGAAGTTTATTTTAATCGAAAATTTATATAGCTGATTATATAGCTGGTTTATTAACGTAAACAAATATCTATATACTAATTAAATGTAAATACATACTGTATAATTGCTGTATTGATAACATGTTTATTACGTTAAATCGGGCGTTATGGCTGATCAACAAATAATGGCCGATTTGACTGCAAAATCTGGATTTTAAATTACACTTAATGTACTTTATTTAATAAATAAAAATAATTAACGTCTGCAAGTTTGCTTTCGACTTCCTTTATCCCCCATTTCAGAAATATTCGGCAATGACATCAGCATGTAAACCGTGCTACGGAGGACGCAATCCCATAGGCGTACCATTTTGGAGGATTTCTAAAAATATTAAATATTGAGCGACAAATAGATTTAATAAAACTACCTTGTAAAAAATATATTCCTTGTAAATATTTACACACACTTGATATATCCAAACAGATAGGTAGGTATTTTTTATTTATACTAAAGTATGTATTCTGCCATTTTTGTAGGCAAAGACCAGACTATTTACCGCATCTAGCGTACACTTTCTGAACCACCCTGTATATATTCAGCTAAAACGTACTGTTTTTGGACCAAGAACTCAGTAAATCACTGAAAAAAATGAGTTAAATATTTAGAAATAGAATATTTAGAAATTGGAAACATTTTTTAATTTGTTTATAATCGAAGATAAAAAAAGAAAAAATATATTCCAATATTTTTACAAGTAGACTACATCTCCTAATGCCTCCTGTCCACATCAAAATTTTCGAAAAATTATTAATTAATAACCAATTAGTCTACAACAAAGACAATGTCACCCTAACCAATCCTAATGTAATGCTATTGCATTATTCCGGTTAAATATTTGAAAGACTGCTCACTAGGGCAGGTTAACCACTCTAACCGACAAATACCGACGGGCCCTGGCAGCTCATTAATTTTCCTTAACTGCCCTAAATGACATTATCCAAGTTTGGAATTCGCAAACCCCCAACTCACCCCAGTCGCTTAAGGTAAGGTAAATAGGTTCATGAAGTTCTCATTCTCTACAAACTCCAAGTTGGACTGATTCCTGGTTAGCCTCGTTAAAGTAGTTCCAGTAGTCAGCATGCTAAACATTTCCGAGGTATCAGGTAGATATCCGGTTTTTATTAAGACTAAAGCTGCGATTACACCGGAAGCGGAGTCGCACGAAAGTCTGTTCGAACCGAACAAATTTTTTGTTTCGTTCTTACGAATGCGTTTGTTTTAGTCAGTTCAAAGTGTCGAAAAATATCAATAAAAAATGATATTTTTTTTCCTATTGCAAAAAGTCGTATGAAGTATCTGTTCTTCTTCTCCTTGCGCTATTTTATTCAAACCATCTTGATTTATTTGTTTATTTGTTTACATTACAGTCTTCGGAAAGAACAATGCAAAGTGTAACTCTGATAACAGAATCATTAGGATTCAATCCGATGGGAATGATTGGTGGGTTTCCATTCTGGATGCATAATCTGTTAAAATTCTCGATAGCCTAACAACCGTGTAGCAGCTTTCATGTCATAAATTTTCCCCGTTGCAGATATTTTTTTAAATTTAACTCTTTTGGAATGGTGTTTTCGACAGAATCGTATTGTCCGACGTTATCTAGACCATATGTTACGGTGGTCCAAAGTTCAGATCCTGCAATTTATTTAAAAAATATACATACATACATTGTGTCGTTAAATTTTAATATAGCAATGAAGAAAGGAAAAGGAATCTGAAATAAATATACAGTTAATTTTGCTTCATTTCCTGATTTCATATTTATAATCAAATAACATATATTTTATAAGCATTCTCACGAAACAAATAACAGATAATCCTGCGAAGCTTACGCCGACTGACCCAGAAACGTAACGACAATGCGAGTATTACAAAGAACTAAGATATGTTCCACGTACAGCTCGAACTGTGGATTTAAATTGCACCTACGTCACACCCGGGTCTGTGCCGTTATCCTTCTCGAGTAGATAAACACGTTCCCGATATAAGCCTTTTACAAAAGGATCAGTTACCTGTACCGAGTTAAAGATAACTTTTGTCAACGGTATTTACTACTTCATAGAACTCTATTGGGCGACGGTATTACTTTATGTAGACGAAAAGGATCAGACAAGTGCGGAATGGTGTTTACATAAACAGGGATCCGGTTGTCGAGATCTGAGAATACTGAGCTATTCAACTGTAGTTGGGTATATAAAAGGATTTTGGATAAGATCTCGAACGTTCACACTCTTTAATTTCGTACTTGAATGATGTAATTTCTACAGTCTACTTTTATATTTATTTATATTTGTCATTATCAGCATCATCAACACCACCACCACCTCCACCACCACCAACATCATCATCGTCATCGTTACCATTACAATACAGGCATAGTTCTCTTGAGTTATGTTCTTCATACTTTATAATTACCCAGTTGATTACAGTGTGTCTAAATGCCCAGACTTGACACCTGAAGAGGGGTTCCGTAGGGTTCTGTTCTTAGACCTTTGGTATTTACAGTTCTTATTAATGATACTGTCTATGATTTGAATCCACGTTACTTGTTATATGCTGATGATATAAAAAACGTTCTCAATTTACTTTTTGTTAGATCTAAACTTGAGTAAGTCTTTTTCACTCAGAACAGCTTCTGCTATACGTCATTAATAAAATTATATGAACTTTCCCTTCTATCTTTAAACTACACAGAACGTTAGAAATGTAAATTTGACCGACTACTAAATATTTCCACAAGGAAAATTAAATTAAAACAATAAACAAATATGTTTAACTTTCTCATTTTTTTTCTCGCTTGGCCTAAATACACATCCCGTTATGTCAGGAGGATCTAAATCAAATTTGCATATGCATATATGTTAACGGAGTCTCGACTCCAGCTCCTTCTGGCCTACATAAAAGTTTTATAATCCAGGACACTGTACATTATACGCAACAGAAAAACTAAGCTCAAACAAATAGGCGCCTAGTTCTTATAAATTCGTCTTGGAAAGGTTCCAGTAAACGAGCAGTCTAGGCGCGACAATAGCAATTTGGCTGCTCTACAAAGTTTGGTTTAACGGCAGACGTCGTGATTTGATGAATTTATTCCTATACCAAGGAAATGTAAATAAATAATCATGTGCGATCGATTTCAATGGAAGGTCGTTGTGGAGCCTCGTAGACTGATGCTTCTCCCTATATACATAATTTGAGTAATGCTATTT